CGGCATATAAGGCGACTTCCGCAAGCGATAAAATCGGTGCCAAAAACGGGGGTCGTCTTATACGCCGGGTCGCCTTGTACGCCGGCATATACAGTAATATTCTGCTATTTACATTTTGTTGTAGAAAAGAGAATGATGAAAATCATTAACAATTCTATCAATATTTGCTATTGTTCATGATTTCTTTGAAAATGTGGCTTAGTATCAATCTGATCTGCTACATTCAGTGCATTGAGGTAGTCCTTAACTTATGACTATAATTGAGCCCAAAATTACAGGTACAAGTCATTGTGATTGTAAATCGAGGTATTACGTGACTGGATCGGATTTTTTGTTATTTTTTGTGGTTGTTAAGCAAATGCCATGGCCATTAAGCAAACATGGCATTGTTAAGCAAATCCATTTTACCCAATGGGCATTTTTTTTTACTAGAAACTGGAAGTAAATGGCCAGAAACTTGCAAAAATGTTGAGAATTGTCACAAGACCAAGGGACACTGCAAACAGCCATAAGAGTGTGCCAATTGCCAGGTGCCCAAAATGCAATCATGTGACTACAGGGAGGGGGTTAATCCATCATATCTTCAAAATCAGTCATAAGTAGCTTTGGGGGAGGGTTCATCATAAACTTGAATGGTTGCTAAGTCGAGAATTTTAATTGGAAAGCTGAGACATCTGCAAGGCAGTTAAAAAAAAATCAAGCTGAGGGATGTTTGGTATTTTCACCAGTAGGTAATATTTCTTTATAGAATACAAGTAGTCCTTGATTTATGACTACAATTGACCTCAAAATTTATGTTGCTAAGTGAGACATTTGTTAAGTGAGTTTTGCCCCATTTTATGACTTTCCCCCCACAGTTGTTAAGTGAATCATTGCAGTTGTTAAGCTAGTAACCCAGTTGTTAAATAAATCTGGCTTCCCCATTGACATTGCCTGTCAGAAGATTGCAAAAGGTGATCACATAACCCTGGGACACAGCAACTGTCATAAATATGAACCAGTTGCCAAGCATCCAAATTTTGATCATGTGACCATGGGGATGCTACAATGGTCGAAAGTGTGAAAAATGGTCATAAGTTAATTTTTTCAGTGCCATTGAAACTTCGAACAAAACAAACTGTTGTAAGATAGGGTTAGGGTTAGGATATTATTTTTCAGTTGCCTCCATCATTCCAAAGAGGACTTAATATATCTTTAAGAAGTGACACTTAAAGAAAATCTTTAAATTGACTAAGTATTGCCTCTGTTATGAGAGGTTTTATACCATCTGAGTCATGTTCAGTGAGATGGATCACTGTATAAATTTGTTTAACTAACAATCAAACAAATAAATATTGTATATTTCTTTTTAATTTAAAGAAAACTGCATCCATGCTCCCATGAGCTTCTGAACAAAGACTGGATAGAAATTTAAGAAATACATGACATTAGGGATGTTTTGCTTTTAAATTTACATAGTGAAAATAATGTGATTAATATCTAATTCAAGGTATGTAGGATTGCTACATCCTATCCATTGCTGTTAAAATGTTTTAATATAATAATTGCATGTTAACATATGTAGCTTATTTGTTCTTTTATTTGCAGATCTACATGAATGCTGTATGGCATGGCTGGGCCATTCCTATGTTCTTATTTTTAGCAATTTTGAGGTTGTCCCTAAATTACCTCATAGCCAGGTAATCACTTTTCAATATGTTGTCAATAATATGTATGCCTCCAACAGTATATACCGTTAGAACTTATGCAATTTAAAATAGTATATGAGCTTATCTAAATAAATAAATAATATATATTTATTTTGTCTTCCTATTTAATGCACTTAATTTTAAAATTAGTTACAAAATAGGAAATTCCAATCTTTAATGCTCTTGTGCTTTAAAAATTAGGGTTGTGTAAAAATTTTGTACTGCCCATGGAAATATTTGATTTCTAGCTTTTTAGTTGTCTCAGCAGATGGCAGCACCTGGCGAACAGTCTAGGATAATTTTTCTTCGGCCATCTCATCCCAGCCATCTCACCATGTCCAATGCGCCTGGACCATCTTCTGCTGCCGGTGTGGCCATTTTACTGCAGCCAATTCAGCACAGGACAATTCCACATGGGATAACTCAATGCGATAAATGTTATCTGCTACTATTTCTTCACAGTTATTTCCATTTTTGTCAATGAAAATAATGTCAAAAGAACAGTGGCAGATAACATTTATTGAGTTGAATTATCCCGTGTGGAATTGTCCATCGGCGAGTTGTCTGAAGCAAGTTGCCCACGGCCAGCTGTCCTGTTCTGCCTGGCCAACCACGTCTGTGCAGGGAAGCTAAACAGAGTTGGCCTTAATTCTTATGTGGCTGAGAGACCACCAAGGAAATTCCAGGTTTGTTGGCCAAATTGGGGAGATGAGAAACTCCTTGGAAGAAGGTGGAGGTTAGCTGTTACCATCCTGTTGAGCTTCAGGATTTAGTGACTGTGATCTAGGGAACAAAATTCCTGATGTTTCTCCAGAAACTGTGGTTGGCATAATCGGAAGCAAGGTGTTCTGCTATACAAACCGCAGGCAATTGAGCAGGACTGGCTGGGCTTCTGTATTTATAACTGGGTGTCCTGAATGCTGAATTATATTTAGCCAACCTGGTTTCCAGTTGTTCCACATTGGTGAGAGCTAGTCTTCCAATCTGTTGCCAGCCAAACTGCACAGATGTTATTTAAGAACTAGTAGCTGCTAGTGCTAGTGCATAAAGGAAAAGATCTTCTTTCAGGGGCCGTTCAGAAACTCAGGAACTCTCAACCCTTCCTAAAGAGTAAGAATCTCAAAAGGTTCTCTGAGATTAAATAAATTGGTTTTGATCTTGGCTTTCATCCAGGATTTTACTTTACTTCTACTCTAGTACAACAACTGTAATGCACTGTGCATATTTATCATCACATTTCAGTTATCCTTGCAAACAAAACTTGAATTCTGCTTCACCCTCTGTGTTATGTTTAAATGGAAAAGAGACAAATTGGTTCAATTGCCTTGCAGATGTTTGGGGAATATGAAATTCAGCACAGTTGTAGCTTCTTTACAAATTACAATAAGAGGAGAAAGTAAACAACAAACCACAGAATTTGAATTGTGGGTGTGTTAGCAAATCCTTCCCCAACCCTTCCTCATCTCATTTTCATGTGCCAAATATATTTCTAATATTATTATTACTCCTACTCACTGTTCCTGCATTTCTTGTAATGGAATGGCTTAAACTCAGTCAGCAAGTGTGTTCCATTGAGTTGTACAGAGTCTATTCAGATTCATTGTCTGCAACATTGCTTGCCACACATTGACAATAGCTAAGGTGAGAACTGATCACTGCAATCAGGAACTGATTGCCAGATTTATGTGGCTTTCCAGAAAAAGATAAACTTTGAAATATGGCCCCATTTTCACTTGTATTTATAGAGATCCTTTTACACAATAAATGTATAGGGGGGAGTTCCAATTTCATGTTTTTAGGAAAGTTGAAATACAAATACTTATTACTATATTTTTATAGTGTGATGGAATTGTTTATTGATCATAATTAGCAGGATGATAAATCCTCATTGCATTGTCTAATAAAGTAATCTATATAGCAGTGTTTCCCAAACTTGACAATTTTAAGGCATGAGGACTTCAACTCCCAGAATTCCACAGCCAGCAATGCTGGCTGTGGAATTCTGGGAGTTGAAGTCCACATGCCTTAAAATTGTCAAGTTTGGGAAACACCGCTATATAGAATCATTACTTTATCTGCAAGAACATTGTTGTAATAGCTTAATTATTTCTTTATTTCTTTTTTAAAAAGAATGTTATTAATTACTTGATCTACTGTAATCTATTGAACATTCAGAGCTACAAGATCTCTTCAAGATGGATGTCAGCACTATATTAAAGAAAGTTTGTAAATTTTGAAAAGATATATTCTGTTGCCTTCACGGCTTGCTTTTTCAAAGGATCCCTTCTGTTTCATTGTTATGAAGCCATGTAGAAAACCAGTGTTCCTGTTTAATGCAAATGCCTTTTTTTTTTAGAGGGTGGAGGATACAGTGGAGCATTGTGCCCGAAGTTTCTGAGCCTATTGTAAGTCCAAATGATATTGAGATCACTATTGAAATATTTATATGAATGTTTTGATACGTTTCAAATTTACACAGGTAGTCCTCAAATTACAATCACATTTGGGACCAGAATTTCCATTGCTAAGCAAAGCAGCTGTTCAGTGAGTTGTGCCCAGTTTTATGACTTTTTTCCACGGTTGTTAAGTCATTGCAGTTGTTAAATGAATCATGTCATTAAACACATCCAACTTCCCCCCTAGACTTTCCTTGTTGGAAGCCAGCTGAAAAGGTCACAAAGGATGATCACATGACCCCAGGACATGTTGTAAACATATGCCAGTTGCCAAGCAACCAGATTTTGATCACATGACCACGGGGAATGCTGCTATGGTTGTAATGGCAATAGCACTTAGAGTTATATACCGCTCTACAGTGCTTTACAGCCTTCTTTAAGCAGTTTACAGAATTAGCATATTGCCCCCAACAATCTGAGTCCTCATTTTACTGACCTTGGAAGGATGGAAGACTGAGTCAACCATGGTCAGGATCAAACTCCTGGCAGTGGGCAGAGTTAGCCTGCAATACTGCCTTTTAATCATGGTGCCACCACAGTTCATAAGTGTGAGGACTGGTTCTAAGTCATTTTTTCCAATGCTGTTATAACTTCAAGTGATCACTAAATATTTGACTGTAAGTTGAAGACTACCTGTTCTATCTATTAGGCATTTTATACTCTTGATAATTTTAATCAACTCAACTTTAATTATATTGTGACTTCATATGCTGTCCAATATTTTTGTTATTTTTTAAAATATTGTATAAAAGACCACGTTATAATGTTTAGTTAAAGAAGAAACATAGAATATATAACTTATATTTTGAAGTATAGAGTCTAATAAATATGAAATTCTGAAGTATGACTTAAAATAATTTGCATGTCAGGGTATGTCTAGTTATTTTGAGGGCAGCTACATCGTTGAGGTCATTTATAAAGAAGCACATTATGTTGGCCAGAACCAAACCTACTTGTCTGCATAAAATTTAAGAGGTTAAATACAAAATAAATGCATAGTCTGCCCTAGAAGCTTAAAAGAAATGTAAAATCTACACTATTTATTTTAATAGTTTATTATGTGTTTATAGTAGGATGAGTTTAGTTCCATCAGGCACCAAGATGTCCTTCAAATACTGTAGTTGCAGTTCCAGACAATGAATCTATTTTAACATTATGGAAAAGAGTGATCCATGTGATCATTCTGGTCAGAACATCTAGCATAGGGGTGTCAAACTGCTGGCCTGCAAGCCGGATGCGTCATGAGGAAACCATGCCCACCCCATTGCCGGCAATGGGGAAAAAGTTCCGATATGTCGCGCAACGTACGTGACGTCACAAATTTGACATGTCTGATCTAGCAGAAGCAATTTGGATTGGATTAAAGTCTGCAAAATATGTGAAACAATCCATATCCAATTCTTTTGATACTGTTTTATCTCTATGAATCTGGGCTATAGATTGTGGCCCAAATTCTCCAAACTTTCTAGTGCAGACTTGGTATATGGAGCAGACAAGTGAATGTTGTCCACCAGCAGTGTTCAGTCTAGTGATGAAAAAAATAACATTGGCTACAAACCAACATATATTTACAAAAGCCGGATCTGGTTGTCATCATAAAACATGTATTATTATGTGAATGAATAATACTTGGTAAACCTAGGGCTCTTATTCTCCCATCTTCCTGCCTTAGGGGATAGCTTTGAGGAATACATTGGATGATTTTGTTTCTTTTTAAAATAATCATAGTTTAACAGAGACAGACTGGCTAATTTTAAAGTGCAGTTTATGCAGCTGCTTTGTTTCAGTAAATTATAGTTAAATCATAACATTATTGCAGAGTATTTTTTTCTTTCTTTAAGTTTAAAGCCACATATTCATGTTTCGATGACAAATTATATTTACTGTTTTAGGAACCTCCCAAAGAAGACTTAACTGTATCAGAAAAATTTCAGCTTGTTCTGGATGTGGCACAAAAAGCACAGGTACGAAATCTTTGGCATCTCCATTTAGAAGTTGCAGGTAGGAGCCAGAGATCTCCATGTGAGAAATGATCCCTGGAAAGTATAGTGTACTGGACTAGAATGTTTATGAAAAGCAACTTGTATTAATCACATCATTTGAGAAATAGCAGAACATAGTACCGTATATTCCGGCGTATAAGGCGACCCGGCGTATAAGACGACCCCCGTCTTCAGCGCCGAGTCGCATGCCTAGAAAGTCCTCTTATATGCCGGAAACTACCGTAATTTCCGGTGTATAAGATGACTCGCCGTATAAGACGACCCCCGACTTCGGCGCTGATTTTACCGTTTGCGAAAGTCGTCTTATACGCCGGAAAGTACGGTAAATGTATATGGTTTGGTTTAAAAAGTAAACTTTTAAAACAGCTTCTTGTTTTTCATATACACAGACATGTATTCTAATCTAATACTCCCTTTCTTTCTTGATTACAGAATTTATTTGGGAAAATGTCAGATATACTGGAAAAAATTAAAAAGTAAGTTTCTATATATTTCTCTTTCTAACAACATATTTTTCATTAGGTCTGAATGGTAATATCTTTAAATGCTGCCTATTTACCTTTATTTTTTGCTCTCTCTCACTCTCTCTCTCTCTCCCTCCCTCCCTCCCTCCCCCCCCTCCCCCCCTCTCTCTCCAGTTTGTTCATGTGGGTCCAGCCTGAAGTAACGCAGAAACTATATATTGCTTTATGGGCAGTTTTTATTGCATCCTGCTGTATTCCTTACAGGATCGTTGGGCTTGCAATAGGTAAAACTATTATATTTTCACATTGTATGCTTTCTTAAATGTTAGAATTCCACATCCCACTAAAAAATGAGCAGTTGGTTTGGCTTCCATCCATGTATACAATTTATGTTTTAACATCACACTGTCTGGAGATAGTTATTAAATTTATCTGTTCTCAGGTGTCAGCAATGTCCTTTTTCTCTTTATTTTTGACTTACTCAAATACAGGTTGCTGAATTAAGTGCAACACTAATTAATATAACAACAATAATTATTATTAGCTTGAGTCAATGATCAATCAGATCAGCAGAAATACAAAGACATTCAAGAAGCAATACTATCAATGAAATATATAGTTCCTTATCAAACTAAAGGATGTGAGGCTTATATGAGCTATTTAAAGTACAGTATATCATCTGCCCAAGGCCTAAAATCAAACAAATTATTGTTCGCATTCATAAAATAAAATAAAACATAAGGAGCATAATTCCCACCCCCATTCCTAGCATAAGGAAATTGTATAGATATAATGTATAATGTAACCAATTTAGCTATTGACTGGGCAATGTTGGTCTAGATGTCTAACAAAGGAAGTGAGATGAATAGCTCTTCTTCAGCTGGTACATCTTGTAGGAAAACAAACATTTAAGTCCCTGGAAAATTTGCAGTATAATAAGAGGTGTCTGCATCCTAAATTGCCTGGGAGTTACCAGGAAATAAATGTTCCAGGAAAGGGATCTTACAAGGTTTGTGTTCAATAAAAGTGTCAAGGACAATGATAAATTAGGCATTATTTTCGAAGCCTGAAATTGTGCACAACACTATAAGCTAAATAGTTCTACTTGTAATGTTCTTAGGTGGTTTTCCAAATCATGATTCTTGTGGGGCTGCTCTTTTGATAGAATCCTCCTGTACAGCAGGTTTAGACACTTAACACTTAACACTTACTTGACCATTTATTCCAATAAAGTTTGAAACTCCTTAAAAAAAAAAAGGCTACTATCAACTTCGGGTGAGTCACTATCTCTGAACCTCTTTCACTTTGCAAGCTTGTCCCAAAGGTGCTTTTTCAAGAGGTGGGGAATTTTCTCATCATCCAGTCTGAGCTGAAGAAGCTTCATGGATGCTTGTCCCAAAGGTGCTTTTTCAAGAGGCAACTGGACTTTTTGTTTTTTTTTGAAGACGTTTCACTTCTCATCCATGCAGCTTCTTCAGCTCGGACTGGATGATGGGGAAATTTCCTACCCTCCAGTCAGAGCTGAAGAAGCTTCTTGGATGAGAAGGGAAACGTCTTCAAGGAAAAACAGGAAAGTCCAGTTGCCTCTTGAAAAAGCACCTTTGGGACAACCACAACCTGAATGACTGAAAATCTCCATAGACACCTTGCAAGCTTGCTTTCAAGATGAATTTGGGTGAAGGGGACACAGCAACTATGTGGAGATACTTCTATAACAAGCTATATAAGCCTGGAAAAAGAGGCAACTGCTTTAATGATCCAAATAAAGCATCTTGAGATATGCCCCTGCCTATTGTTAAAGGTCTTTCATAGAAAAGGTAGCTCTCGACTTACAACAGTTCATTTGGTGACCGTTCAGAGTTAAAACAGCACTGAAAAAACTGATTTATGACCATTTTTCATACTTACATTCATTGCAGCATCCTCATGGTCACATGATCAAAATTCAGACACTTGGCAATTGACTCATATTTATGACATTTGCAATGTCCCGGGGGTCATGTGATCCTCTTTTGCAATCTTCTGACAAGCAAAGTCGATGGGGAAGCCAAATTCACTTAATAGCCGTGTTACTAATTTAACAACTGCAGTGATTTCACTTAACAGACGTGGCAAGAAGAGTCGTCAAAGAGGCAAAACTTGCTTAATAAATTTCTCATTTTAGCAACATAAATTCTAGGGCCAATTGTGGTCGTAAGTGGAGGACTACCTGTATTTGCAAATTAGTATTTATAGTATAATTTTGTTTCCATATTTCAGTCCTGAAACTTTGACTCATTCCAATCTTTGACTTTCTAATTATGCAGGACTTTATGCAGGAATTAAGTTTTTTCTGATTGATTTTGTCTTCAAACGTTGTCCAAGACTACGAGCAAAGTATGATACTCCGTATATCATATGGTTGAACTTGCCTACGGATCCTCAACTCAAAGAGAGGGCTAATGCTACAGTATCAAGACGGGTAACTTCTTTTTCTTTCCTGTTTCTTTCTCCGTAACACAACTGTACACCATCTGTTTAGCTTTATGAGCAGAGCACATAGAGAGCTAGTTATTCATGATTCAGATCCAATATTTACATTCCCATGTACTAATAGCTTACTGCTCCTGTCTGCCAACTTCTTTCTTAAATCTTGAGGCATAGGAATGCTATGTTTTTAAAGTAGGAGATTGTTCAATGGAAAAAGGACTTAAAAAAAATTTAGACAGTGCCCAGGTTTTTTTTAATTAAAAATGAAATGTTGACAGCATCTGAAATATTGTAATATGTTGTTAACAATACTTGAATTCATAGAAAAAAGGGAAAGTAGATTTGGTGTATACAAGTAAAGTCTAGCTAAGAACTTGACTCTGCTAATGCCATTGTTCAGCATAAACTAATAATTAACTTTGCTTTGTAATCATTGCACATATGTGAAGTAATGATCATCTTGGCTATGTTTAAGGAATAAAAATGCAGCAGCTAGCCAGATTAGCACTCTGGGGCTGCATATTTAACCCATGTGACTTGTTAAGAAATCAATAACTGCTTCTTTGTGCTTCACTCTTAAAGCTATAATCTAGCTGTTAAGACATTGAATACATTGTTAAGAGCTGAAAGATAAGAGTTCTTCCTGTATGTCCTGAACAAATATTAGGTTTGTCTGCAGTCAGATAACACATAGTAAACATGGAAATTTCTCTCTCTCTTTTTAAAAAAATAATGAAATACTTCTAGCCTTAAATCAGGGGTAAATAATTGGGGTCTCTGTTATAGTTTCTTTCACCTTCCAAATGTGGTAGCTAAAATACACATTACAATAAAATATATATTTTTGCTATCTTGAAGCGAGAACATGTATATAAAATATGCAACTAAATCCTAAATTAGGTATAGCAGAAAGAAAAAGTTAAAGAAAACTTCTCAGCCTTTAAAACTGGAGGGAATAGAAAGGAATGGAAAGGAAGATATATGATAGATCTCAACCCCCTGTCAGTATTTCATGTGATGATAATAGAGCAGGGGTCTTCAAACTTGGCAACTTTAAGACTTGTGGACTTCAACTCCCAGAATTCCTCAGCCAGCCAGGGCTGGCTGAGGAATTCTGGGAATTGAAGTCCACAAGTCTTAAAGTTGCCAAGTTTGAAGACTCTTGTAATAGACAATAAGAAGCTTTCCCACCCTGTCTTCCATTCATGGTTTTTCTAATGGACTGTGGACTGTGGACTTTTCTAATGGACTCCGTGGACTGTGCTCACGAAAGATATAGAAAGCCGAGCAGTTCGATGTGATTATTAGATAGAAATCATGTCCTGCAGCTTCAGAAGGAAGTATATGGCTGGATGAATTCCTTGATGCACAACAGATATAATTGGGGGATTTGGAGATCCAAAGAAACCCTGTTCTTTTCCATCCATATTTGGTACTAGCAGGAAGATGTTTTATCAGACTCTTTTTCCTGAATGTTTAAAGTGGCTCCTACGTACTTAACAATGACCTCCTGATGGATATGTTTCAATCCTTGTTATTAGTATAAGAGATCCACTAAAGCCTCTGTCAGCAACTTCCGGAATTTACCTGATTCAGCTAGTGCCAAATTATTAAAGAAGCGAAAAGCAAAGTTAAATTCATTCCAATTGTCACTCCTTTTAAAATCATTTCTCTCTTTTTTTAAAAAAATACTACAGAACACTCTCAAATATTTTTGTGAATCAGTTTTAGCTAAATAATAATTAGAGAAATTATTAAACATCACTAACCTGTGCAGAGCAAATTAGGAACCAGAGATGGGAACATCTAGCCGGGCATGCATACTTTTAATAAAATTCAAAAACTGTGCTCTATCCATTGATATCTTTTAGGGAGAAAAAAAACAATTATTAGTTATAGTCCTTTGGTATGCAAAAAAGTCTTGCCAACTCGCTCAGGTCGTGATTTTATTCTGCATATGATACAATTAAATAGGTTTTGCTTTTTTTATTTTGTCATCATCACATTGTGTTTGTTTGTTTGTTTTCTCCTCCTGCTAGCTGTCAGGTCATGAAAAGGTATGGATCTTAGAGTGGAATATGTTCTGTTTTTCAGCTGATCATTTGTATTCAGAATGAACAGCAATTTGTTTCTTTCTCTCTCCCACTATCTCTCCCCACCTCTGGTGTATATGCAAATGTGTTTGACTGTAATGTTTACATTTGTAGTAATTATAGTAATTGGTCTTGATTTGAATCCAAAGATCCAGACATGTAGAAACTGTTTTTACTATTAGTAGATCAATTTTGCAAAGTGTTCAGTATTTCCCTATTTAGTTGAAGACATGGTTTGATAAACTTGATGTGGCAGAGCTTTTATATAACTATTGTTTTATTTATTTTTACTTTGCTTAATTAATAGAAAAAAACCTCTAGAAGCATACAACAGTATTAACAATATGATAGAACTTCAAAATGAATAATCATGAAAGTTCTCTTGCTTGTAATGATTTGCATATTACAGTATTTTGAAAAATGTTTGATGCAGAAATGTTGTGATAGACCAATCTAGTTGTCTGGGCAGCTGGGAGTGTTGGCACTCATAAGCCTACATGTTTCTTACCCCAAATTTAAAACTGTGTATATTGGAATCCCTCTGAATATATTTGCTGTGTCCAAAAGTAAATGGCCACTTGATGCAAAACAGCAAATTAAGCTTTGAAGAATGCAACTTGAAAAAAAAAACAATTTATGCTTTTCTGCCCTACCATTTTCCTCCTTACAATGCCAAGGAATAGGAAAGAATTGGTATATGTAGTCCTCGACTTACAATCGCAGTTGGGGCCAGAACTGTTATGTGACTCATGCCCAATTGCATGACCTTTTCTGCTACAGTTGTTAAGTGAATCACATGCTTGTTAAGCGAAACCTGCATCCCAATTGGGAATGTTGCAAATGAAACCACAGGGCCCCAGGACACGGCAACTGACATAAATACATGTTGGTTGCCAATCACAAATTTTGGTTACGTGACTAATGGACTAATTGTAAATCACTTTTTTCAATGCCATTGTAACTTTGAAAAGTTGCTAAATGGATGGTTATAAGTCAAGGACTACTTGTGTATATTCAACATCAGTGTTGAGCTTATGCTTATTAAAAGCTGGATAGAATAGAAATAGACTTCCTGTGTAAGGGGGAATGTGAATGGTACTTCCCATCTAAAAAACATCTGCTGTATTATCATTCTTTTTTTTTTAAATAAAGCTTATGAGGATGGCTTGTGGTAATATTTTGTCGCCTACTTTCCCCTCTAACCAATTTTTGCTGCAAAAAAAAAAAATCATGCCAAGCGACTCTTTGTTTTTTATGAGTTTGATGAGATCCTACTTATGGCTTTTGGGAGCTTTGGAAGCATATATAGCTACACTGTTTTAAATTGCACCATAGCAGATTGCTTCTTTATTGGTGGCAGGTCCTGCAACCTCAGCTTCAGCTCCTCTCTGAAGTTCTGATAATTGAGATTGGGGGGGGGGGTTAATGAAAAATGTATTTTCTTACCCCTCAAAAGGATGTCAAAACCTCAGGGACGCACAGTGTTTTGGGTCACAACACAGACTAGTCACATAATACATGTCCTGTGGAGGATGTAGCTGAAGGAGCACAGCTCTGCATGGCAGCCTTTAGAAAAGATCCTGCATTGAGTAAAACTGCTTATGTATGAAAGAGGTTTGTCGGAATTCACCTTCCTGAGAAGTTGTATCACATGATGAGTCTGAGCAAACTATATTAATTATAACTCACAGCCTGATGTGATGGTATCATCCACAGCTTGATCAACCCTGGATATTGTGGAGAGGGATTGCAGCTGCATCAGACATGGGTTTCTAGCACTGAAGCAGGACATTTCCTGAAGAAAAGGGAAGATAACATAACTGAAGCTTGCATGATTTCTACAAGTGTTTAGTAAACCAAGTTTGTGTTGTTGTTTCAGCCTCAAACAGCAGCATCCCGAAGCTATGTAGGTTCGAACGCCTCAACAGGAATGAATCGAGATGAGGAAACCAGTCGCTTTCACGGCACGAAGAGAGGAAACTTCCATGAAGTATTTAACTTGTCAGAACATGAGCGTCCCTTGGCAGGTATTCATACAACTCTAAACTTTGGAGGTGGACATTAAGTAATGAGATTTTTTTTAAGGCGCATAAAGTAACATTATTAAGAAATGATTGACATCGTAATGTAATCTTCTGTTAGATTCCATGGACAACAGGTCAATATTAATCTTTTATCTCGCAGTCAACAGATTTACTGTGCAAGTGGGATGGCTGATTTTGACCTTTGTTGAAGTATAAATTTGAGGAAATGGAGCGTACGCTTGTCAGAGAATTAACTTTACCCTAGCTTGAAACATTTACTTCAGAGTTAGAAGAGTTTGTATGCATTTTCAAGATTTAGGTTCTGTTGCTTTTGGTGACTATTAAAAAGAAAACTTACCACATAAACCAAAGTTTATTGAAGATTTCACTCCTTTATGAAAATGTTTTCTTTGTAGGAGCTTGTTTGCCGTCTCTGGATATAGAATTTTTAGCTGTATCTAAAAGATACTAATATTACAGCTGCTTACTGTGTAAAAGTAAAATGGAATAATTGTACTATTTTATAGTGTGTGAAAATGGCTGGCGCTGCTGCTTGATAAACAGAGATAGGAAGATAACCACTGATTACATTAGGAATGGAGTTCTCTATGTTACTGAAAAGTAAGTGTTTGCATGATTTACAGCAGATCTGGGTTGCAAAAAATTGGAGGATTACTAGCTGGTGATAGGGAGTTATTTTCCCCGCACCTTCTATTCTTGTCCATATTTTTACCCCCCTGATCTGATAACTCTATTTAAGTGGGGGAGGGGGGAATAAGTGTTTTTTATGAACTACAAAAAAGAATTTTGAAGAAAATAACTTTCAGAGGTTTTTGGTGAATCTATAAAAATGTTACTGAAGAGGTTGAAGATGCTTGCCACCAGCCTCTGCAAGCAAGACTGAGATATAATATAAAGGTTAATGGAAAAGAACCTTATACAAGGCTCAGTAAAAAAAAATATGGGTTGCTTTCAGTGGGTTTTCCTTAGATGAAATCTTCATTGTTTTGCACCAGGACAAATTCACAGTTAATATGTAATTAAGGGATAAAGCCACTTTGGTATAGTGATTAAGGCATCAGGCTAGAAACTGGGAAATTGTGAGTTCTAGTCCTGCTTTAGATACAAAGCCCTCCACATGATCGTGGGCCAGTCCTTCTCTCTCAGCCCTTGAAAGGAGAAAGCAAGGGCAAAACACTTCTGGAAAACCTTGCCAAAAATTTTTTTGTAGGTGCCAGGAGTAAAAACACTGCCTCAAAGGCAAAAAGAAAAAAAAAAAAGCGATAAGGGCATGCCATGTGAAATGGTAAGAACGCCAGAAAATATGTAGTTTGGATTAATTTGATATATGTAAATCATTAGGTTTTTAAAGTTTTAACTTATTCTTGTTTTATATGTTGATATTATACTGTGCACCACCCAGAGTCTCTCTTTGAAGGAGATGGGTGTTCTAGAAATGCAAAATATAACTAAATCTATCTATCTATCTATCTATCTATCTATCTATCTATCTATCTATCTATCTATCTATCTATCTATCTATTTCAATAGCAGTATTTTAAATCATTTTTTTGTTTACGTTCTTTCTTTCCTTGCCTTTAGCTACTTATGCTTTGAAAGTTCCAAATCTGGTTCATCTAAAAGAAATAAAGTTATAAAACTTGCAGATATAACAGATATTCAAAAGGTAAGTACTTGATATTTCTTCAGTGTTTTGCTTTTAATTTCTTTTATGTTGAAGAAGCTTATTTATCATGTCATGGTAAAAAAAATCTATTTTTTAAAACACTGTATTAAATAGCAAATGGATGCAGTGAAATTCTGTAAAATATAATCTCAGATTTACTAACACTGATTAGGACTAAAAGGCACATTCACTCACAGCTGCCACTGGACACTAAAATTCAAAAATCTATGACCCCCATTTAGCATTAGCTGTTCATGCCTCAAAAATAAGTTGGGGGAAATATTTCAGATTTTCTCCTCTGTGCTATTCTTTAAACAAACTGTTATTTTTCCCCATATTTCTATGCAAGCCTGAAAAAAAGATGTTAGTTGCCCTAAAGAGCTAAGTTACATCTTTTTTGCCAAAGATTTTTCAAGATTCCAAAGAACCCTGAAAACAAAGAGGAACTGTTTTAATGACTGTTGGTGATTTGCTATGCTTACAGTATATGCTCATATGAGGCCTGAAGTAGATCTTCCAGTTGATTGCTAAAGTATGTACAGCCATAGTAAATTGTACTTCTACTCATTAATTAATTTTTCTGCTGATCAAAAGTCTCTTTTTCTTTCTGGGATTAAATTGAATTCAAGACTGTCTATATTGGAATATATACCTGTAATGTATAATAATAGTAATACCACTTAGACTTACACACCACTTCACAGTGCTTTACAGCCCTCTCTAAGCGGTTTACAGAGTCAGCATATTGCCCCCAACAATCTGGGTCCTCATTTTAAGGCTGAGTCAGCCTTGAGCCAACGTGAATCGAACTGCTGGCAGTCGGCAGAATTAGCCTGCAATACTGCATTCTAACCACTGTGCCACCATGTCTCCTTTTACATACATACATATTATTATTAAAATGTTATTTTATTTCTGCATTTAAATTTTATCACAATTTAGTGTAGTGTAGTGTAATTCTTATTCTTAGAGAGGTCAGGGTCTGGAAGGAAAAGAACAAGTTGTGGCCCAACCAAAGCAAAGACTGAATGACTCCGGGTTTTGGCTCCCTGGTTCTGGAATCCTCCATTGTCTAGCTCAGTGTTTCTCAACCTTGACAATTTTAAGGCATATGGACTTCAACTCCCAGAATTCCACAGCCAGCAATGCTGGCTGTGGAATTCTGGGAGTTGAAGTCCACATGCCTTAAAATTGTCAAGGTTGAGAAACACTGGTCTAACTCTTGATGGGAGAGCAATTCCCCAGACTAATTGGTTGCATTATCTGAGAGTCCTCAGATTCATCATACTTGTGATATCACTGCTGCACAAGCTGTACTATTTCCCAGTAGTCTCTTAGGTGCAATTCAAAGTGTTGATTACCATTTCAAATATCTTGTATGGCACAGGGCCAGGTTAAGTAAAGGACTGTGTATTTCCAGTGGCTTCAGCTCTTTCTACCAGATCTGGTAGGGCAGGCATATTCTGAGTCAGTTCTCTGAAACAAGATCACATAGCAAGACCCAGGAGATGCTTTTTTTCTGACGCAGCTACTGACCTTTGAAACAGCGTTTCCCCTGAGATCTGGAAGATTGAGAAAGCTGACTGCTTCTTCAGATATTAGGGTGGGACATTAATGGAGCCCAATATGTTTGCTATGTTTTGAATTGTTCTGAGGATAATATTATGAATGAGCCGCGGTGGTGCAGTGGTTAGAACGCAGTATTGCAGGCTTTCAGGCTCAAGGTTGATTCAGCCTTTCATCCTTCCGAGGTCGGTAAAATGAGGATTGTTGGGGTCAATAGGCTGACTCTTTAAACAACCTGGAGAAAGCTGTAAAGCACTGTGAAGTGGTATATAAGTCTAAGTACTAATGCTATCGTGAGCTTAAATGGACTCCAAAAGATGGTAGAGGACAGGAAGGCCTGGAGGAACGTTGTCCATGGGGCTGTGATGGGTCAGACACGACTTCGCAACTAACAACAACTATTGCTATGAATTATTATTACTCTAAATTATATTCTGTATTGTGTTGTTTTTTATTGTCATTTTTAATGTACTATTTGGTAGCTGCCCAGAGTTACTTATTTAAGATAGGCAACCATGTACATTTTCTACCTAAGGAAATGACAAAATCACAGAATTATGGAATTGGAAGGGAGCACAAGGATGAGATAGTCCTACTCTCTAACTACAAATCATTTCTTTAAACACCTTTTCATTGAAGGATCTCTATGGATATAGAATGTTGGTCATGCCTCCAAACATCTTTCATTTTATGAATGAATGATTTGGTTTCTAAAAATGCTAAATTCCCTGGTTTCATTGTAGTTACTTTGTTGCATGTACCATGTTGTATGTACCAGGAATGACTGGCATTAATACATTTTTTATAAATTGGTTTCTAATTTTTTAAATACCACAGAAAAATGATTTTATTTCTGTTCCTGTATCAAAGCATGTTGGATATCTATGGTTACTGTTTTCCATCATATGCGGAGTTTGATCTATGATAAATCCTGACTCACTGAATCAGTGGGACGAGTTAGTCACGATTAGCCTATGTCCAATTATTTTGATGGATTTGTTCTATGCATAAGTACATCTGAGGCGACTATTCTGTTTAAATAATAGATTCAGATTAATATTAGCCATGAAAGTATAACCAAGCAGAGAGGTTTTAAAAAATAGTAGGATTAGGCTGTTTTGATCAGTACTCAGTTATTGTTTTGTTTAAATCTTTTATACAGTCCAGTGGTTGGATTTTACCTGTGTGTGGAACACGATAGTAGAGCAGCCCCCCCCCCACCTTTTGAGCACCACGGACTGGTTCCGTGGAGAGAGATTTTTCTGTGGACCAGAAGGGGCATGGTTTTATGTGTGGCCTATATCCCACTGATGGGGCTTTGCTTGTTTGCGTGGCCCGGTTTCTGGCATTCTGCAGACGGGCTGGTCCATGGAGCAGGGGTTGTGGACTCCTGCTGTAGAGCACAAGAAAATAGTGATTCTCAAGGAGCAAGGCTAGCACCTTCTCCTTGCTCCTTTTCCTCCACTGAGAAAGCAATATTCAGAAACGCTTATCTCAAATGTGGGCTATTCTACATTATATAGTAATACACTATTTTTAGTGCATCTATTAAGAGTTTTGGATATATAGATAAGATATTGTGGTTTAAAATCTACTTTTTCTGTTGCATGTGAACGTATTCAATATATAAATCACGTTTTTTTTTAATGTTTATTTTAGTACAAAGTACTTTCCGTTCTCCCAGGATCTGGGATGGGTATTGCAGTATCCACACCCTCTACGCAAAAAGTAAGTAGAAAAATCTGAAGCATGCATATTTCATTTGCATACTGGTTACCATCACTGACACTTTTGTCTGTATGGAATGTTGATTCTATCCCTTTTGGAGCACTTTCTTGGTTTGACAAATATGAATCATTTTATTAATGAACTATTTTTTTATTTAATGAAAAAATAAAACCAATGCCTTTCCTCTTCTCTCTTCTTCCATTTTTATCCTTTTCTGTAACTCTTGCAGTTTTAAGTTTGAATGATGGGAAGGCTGGCTTATTACTGATCCATCAGCCCTTCGAGGAGATTTCTTAGCTGAAGAGTAGAGTAGACAAGACATGTACATGGAAAATTTTCCAATTCAGGAACATAATATTGAGGAGAACTCTGGAGTGCCCCATTCCTTTTCCAGACCATGCCAAAACTTTCCAGACAATGCTCTTCCAAAGCCAGTTCAGGAGTTTCTTGAAGAAAATGCTCCAAAATGGAAGACTGCTTTGATCCTAGATCACAACGCTTCAATTTCAAGAACATTTGCTTTCAGAAATCAGCCCCAAACAGCGTACCGTTTGGGGACAAGGGAAGGATTTAAAGTTCTTCAGAACATCCTCTATCTAAATACCCAGTAGGCCTGTTTTAACTAAGTCTAAAATTGAGATGAACATCCTTTTGGGTACTGTATAGGGTTCTGCTATTAAATCTTACTAATGTATTGGAATGTTCACATTTTAGTTATTCTTTTATTGAACTTCTTTGGTTTTTTTCTTTCCACCTGAAAGCCGCTCGTGTTTGGTGCCATGGTACACAGAGATGAAGCTTTTGAGACTATTTTCAGCCAGTATGTGAAGATAACTTCTGCAGCATCTGCCAGTGAAAGCTAGTATATCATCCTTGCTGGCTTTTATAGGAAACATCGTGAATTTTACTCACCCAGTAGTGAATAAAAAGGTGGAACATCCTTCATCATCGGTCCTGCAATAATTTTCTTTGTTGCATATGTCTAATGTTACAGAAGTGTATTTTATACATGCCTTCCTTGGTTTCTGTTGGTTTTTATTTACTGGTTTTTTGTAATAAAAGAAAAGAACAGTGAAAATGCTATCGGCACTGTTAGCCTTGCACATTAAGCACTTTTAATGTTTGCTCACTGACATTAAAAAGCTTAGGAAGATTCTTAGCAAAATTAGCTTGAAGGACACTGTCTTGTCTTAATTAGACATCTCTGAACTCTATGGTTCATACGATATTCCTTTAGCTACAGTTCTGCACACTCCCACTGCACAAGTTCCATTGATTTCAGTGGCATTACTATATATACACGAATGGGTGCAAGTTTGTGATTGAACTCGGCAAAACCTGTCAAGAACATGATTTTGAGGGGTCCTGGTTTTCCTAAATGAGGTGTAAATAATATTTGAAAGTATGAGTATTTGAAGCTGTGCTTCCAGGAAACTTTCATACTGACTTCTGTATCTTTTCAAAAGACATTTATAGTTTAGAGACAGTTGGGAGATGCAATTAATCTTCAGTCCTTTGAGAGTTGGTGTGCTCACTTCTTCTTGACTTACCTTACGCATTTTGCTTTGTCATTTATTTTACGTCACTGTCTTGACATAACAAATGTTCCCAGTGTTTTCAATAAAAAAGCAACTTTTTAGAATTATTTGGCATGCTGCATTATCCTGTATTTTCCTTAAAATATTGGATAAACATAAAGTTTAAAGTTATCAAAAATGCATTCATTGGAGTGAGGGAGGAATAATGGAAGTAGTGTTGCATCAATGTACTACAAGCTCGCACCCTTTCTAGTACTTTGAAATGTCATACATATGTAAAAAAGCAGTGCTGCAACATTGGATCAACATAATTTTGATGAAACCGCTGGATCTTGCTGTTACTTCTGTTCATGTCCATAATACCTTTTCTTTGGTATTTCTATTTGGTAAATTTGGTATTGCACAAACATTAATTAGCAGTTATTGATATTTTAGTTTCTCGAGAGCTTTAGCTACACTTTTTGTGATAATTAACTTTGCGTGTGTTAGCCTTTAATCATGAAAAGAAATTGAGTAGATGGCTAAAACGCCACATACCAATTTAATATTTTATAATGATGGCCACAATACATTAATTTTGGTTTCTTTTATTTCAAAGTCAGTGTTTGAGGATTAGATGGCCCTTAACAGAGCAGCAGTAGATGCTGGAATCTATTTTGTACTCCAAAAGATCCCCTCAGTTGCTTTTTATTATGTACGTAGAGTCAATTGTTTACAAATATGATTGGAACTGTCAGGTAGGAAAACAGAGAAGCTGCTTCTGTGCTATGAACTAGGCCAGGGATAGGCAACCTTGGCTCTTTTATGACTCCTGGACTTCAACTCCCAGAATTCCTGAGCCAGCCATGCTGAAGGAAAAGGGAGAAATTTCCAAGCTGAGCCATGCTGGCTCAGGAATTCTGGGAGTTGAAGTCCATGAGTCATAAAAGAGCCAAGGTTGCCTACCCCTGAACTAGGCTCTCCCAAACCAATCCCTTGCTTTAAATTCTGTTGTTGGCTCTGTTGCATGCATTTGCATGTAACATGTTACTGCGGCTGAATTAATCTTAATTATTACCGTATATGTTCAGATGTCATAAGAAGATGGACTTTTGCAAAAAAAAATTTTTTTTAAGTCAGAAGCATGACTAAAAATGTGGGCAATAAATGCTAGAAAAGTTTAGCAAACTGATTTATGTGTGGAGAAAACCTTGTTTCTTCTTAAAAGGATTAAAACACATTAATTATTGATCTAGAATCAGTATCTGAAAGGCTTAATAGAATGCGCATATATTTTCTATAAGGTAATACAGAGATTTTCAACTCATTGGTAATGTGACCCCCTAAAATATTAAATGAATTTACTATATATGATTCTCCATATTGAATTAAACCCATGATTTCACTGGATTGAGGGTAGGGCAAAAATATATCACTAATCTTTAATGATTAAAATGCAATTCATATACCAATGGAATCCATATAGAATTAAACCATGAGGAAATATTGCAACTTTATAACATAAAACCTGGAAATAAATCATAAAGCTATCAAACCATAATTTTAATGGGAAGAATAAATTTGTTTTCTTCTTTATGACCCTTGAAATCTGGATTTCATCTTTGAGATAGTTGCTCTCATATTTTGTTCCATATTTATTTTGGATTAACATTTGCCTTTTATAGCAGCAACTGTTCAAAATAAATAATTCCTAATTTTGCTGTTAGCTTGATCAGACAATATCTTAATGTGATCTTGATTTGCATACTCAGAACATTTGCAGAATCCTCAAAGTTGCTGATGACCGCTTGGGGCTTGTGACCCATAATTTGAGATCTATCACTGTAATAGAGGGAAAAAGTTAGTGATGGTAAAATATCAGCTTTCTTAGTAATGCATTTCTATATTAACATTTTGCGATTTATATAAAATGTTACGCTGTAGGCTACATAAAACTTTAAACAAATAAGGACTTTGCCAGGCATAATCCCAGCAAGTAAGTGTAAGGATGGGAAAATAAGTATTATGTCAGATTAACATTTTAATAACCTAAATCAGAATTGTAATACACAGAATTGGTGTTTCCCCCCTGCCTTCTTTTTTTTTTTTTTTTTTAATTGAAAATTTTTAAATTTTACAAAAACAAATCCCCTTCCCATACCCCCCCCCCAACCCTACCTCACCCCCCTCCTACCCAACCTCCCAAACCCTCCCCTGGACTTCCCAGAGCTGAGTACAGGCTTAATTGAGAAAAAAACTTAAAACACTTTTAAAACCTAAACAAATTTAAATACAATCATCATTCTATATAAACTCCCTCCAAAAACGCAAATTTAAACATTACTTTCTTTGAATATCTATACCTATAATGTAAAATCTAATTTCTCCCTCTTTCTTTATCCTAATACAAAAAAATAAATATATAAACCTTTGTTATACCATCAAAACTAAATACTCTTAGAAAACTTAAAGTAAATACATATTTCCTTCAATCTTCATAATCTTCTCACCTATCCAAAAAAAAACTTAAAAATCCTAAACAAATCTAGACACATTTAGTTAAACAAATTATTTTCTCTTAAAGCCCCCTGCCTTCTTTTTAAAAGTCTCTTGGATAGTCATTAATATATTTAATCACATTAATATTTATTAAACCCAACATGGGTTTGTTAAAATAGATCATACTAGATCAGTGTTTCTCAACCTTGACAATTTTAAGGCATGTGGACTTCAACTCCCAGAATTCCACAGCCAGCATTGCTGGCTGTGGAATTCTGGGAGTTGAAGTCCACATGCCTTAAAATTGTCAAGGTTGAGAAACACTGTACTAGACTAACCTTATTGGCTTCTTTGACAAAGTGACTAAATTAGTGGAGCTGAGAAATGCCATGAATATAGTTTACTTGGATTTCAGTCAGGCATTTCATAAAGTAGACTTAGCCTGTTTCTTGGTAAGACAGAAAAATGTGGGATAGACAGCATCACCACCAGATGGTTTTGTAACTGGCTGACCAACCACATGTAGTCTTCAATGGAACTACATCTACATGGAGAGAAGCATGCAGTGGGATACTTCAAGGTTCTGTATTGGGCCCAGTGCTCTTAAACACCTTCATAAATGAACTAGATGAGAGGAAAGAAGGGATACTCATTGAATTTGCAGATGATAATAAGTTGGAGGGAATAGTCAACACTTTGGAAGATAGGCTCACGATCCAGAATAAAATGGGTCCTGTTAAATAAAATGCAGTTCAGTAGTGAGAAAAGTAAGGTCTTACACATAGGGAAGAAAAACCAAAAACAAAGGTATAGAATAGGTGACATCTAACTCTACAGCAGTGACTGTGAGGGAGCTCTAGGTATCCTAGTGCAGAGGTCCCCAACCTTTTGGGCACCAGGGACCGGTTCTGTGGAAAGAGGTTTTTTTTGCGGACCGGAGGGTGCATGGTTTTCTGTGCTGCCTGCATCTTGCGGATGGGGCTTGGCTTGTTTGTGCAGATCAGTTGCTGGCATGCTGCGGCCCGGTTCTGGTCCATGGACTAGGGGTTGGGGACCCCTGTCATAGTGGACAACCACTTAAGTATGAGCCAGCAGTGTGCTGTAGCTGGCAAAAAAGCCAACGCAGTCCTAGGTTGCATCAACAGAGGGATAATATCAAGGTTATGTGAAGAGTTAGTACTGCAGGTAGTCCTTGACTTACCACCACAAATGAGCCCAAAATTTCTGTTGCTAAGTGGGACATTTGTTAAGTGAATTTTGCCTCATTTTACAACCTTTCTTCCTACAGTTAAGTGATTCGCTGCAGTTGTTCAGTTAGTTACATGGTTGTTAAGAGAATCTGCCTTCCCCATTTATTTTGCTTGTCAGGTCGCCAAAGGGGGGACCACATAACCCTGGGACACAGCAGCGGTCAGAAATATGAACCAGTTGCCAAGCATCCGCATTTTAATTCCATAACCACGAAGATGCTGCAACGGTTGTATGTGTGAAAAAAACTGTCATGTCACTCTTTTTCTGCTGTTGTAACTTCAAATAGTCACTAAATGAACTGTTGAAATTCGAGGACTATCTGTCTATTACTGAGGTCAGGACAAGAAGTAATGGGTGAAAAATCATTAGAGATCCAACTTAAAATTAAGGAGAAGTTTCCTGACAGTGGGAACAATTAACCAGTGGAACGGCTGGCCTCTAGAACAGGGGTTCTCAACCTTGGCAACTTTAAGACTTATGGACTTCAACAAAGTATTAAAAGTAAGAGCAGTAAAATTTTAAATTTTAATTCAGTCATGACTGCAATTTTATGCTACTTAAGTGATAGCTCTAGGAAGATAAACATGAATAATGAAAAGTTTGTTACTGTTACTCAATGTTATAGAATCATAAAATGACTGTTTTGCAATTCTGCCCTGAGGGGGACACAAGATTC